GCATATTAATTCCTCGTTGCACAACTTCTTAACGGTGTAATAACCATTTAGCCAATCTTTGGTCATTGTCAACTACACTTAAAATTGCATTAATATAAACCTCATCATTGCACATACCGGTTCTGTGAGGTATTTCGTATTTGCACATTATCCTCCACCATGGTTGCACGATTCCTAAATAATGAATATCCATTTTCTCGTTAACCAAATTTAAATACTAGTAGATTTGAATTTGTATTAAGCCTCAAACATTATCCAGTAGCATGTTTGTGTGCGTAGTTTTGTCACTTTCTGTCAGTAACAATAATGCTACAACTTTTAAACTAAAACAAATTATTGCACATAAAGCTGAATAAATAGAAACCACTACATTGCACAAGCCTCTACTGGAAATTTATCCATTTCTTCACATTGTACTACTTCACCGATGCATTACTTCTAAAGCATGATTAAGCATTTCGCGAATCTTTAACAAAAAATAATTACTAACAAATTTAAATTGTCTAGTAGTATGGTACTTTACGTACTTCTTGGCACTTAAAGTCATCAAAACTAATGTCATAAGTCGCATCAAACTGCTTAACTCACTTCTATCGCACCCACGTCATCATTGTAATCCTTTTCAGCTGATACGGTAACTAAGTAGGCTAAATCTGTTGCGTGAATATTCCATGCTTGAATAGTTGTGAGCTTGTGAGGTTTTTACTGTGATGCTCATTACACTCGCTAAGTAGGATGCCCTTCATATACTTCATTCTCAATGCTTCTATTATGGATTTGTCTTCTTTGCGCATGCCACACTCCCAACTCGTAGCACTTTCTCCTATGAAGACCTCATTGCAAACACCCCACCATCTAGATTTTCCTTTGTATCCCTCCATCACATTTGCATTCTTTTTGGATCCAGCATTAGAACTTTCGCTCCATTGTCATACTCTTTCTTGTCATCTAGGAATGTACCCAACATGTCTTTTTGCTTACATAACATAATTGCAATTAGTAACTCAAGTCAAGTTACCATCCTGCACTATCACGAGCAATAGCTCAAGTCCACATTATATTCAAACTGCACAATACTCATTGTAATGCACAATACATAGTATCCTATATGCACAATGTTTCTACATAGTTACCATGTGTCCATTACTGTCTTATTCACTTCTTTGTCCATGTCCAGGGTCATCATGTCCAACCTAAATGCACGTTGTCCGTTGAAGTAGAATAGTTCATCATTCCTGGTCATTAAAAAACCTTGTCAGTTATAATTAAAATCATTTTCCAAACTATTCTAATGAATTTGTATTTAATCTTGTGTATTAACTATAACACAACTTTTTGTATCCATTTTGCAGTATGTGGTCCCCCAGTTTACTTTTCCCCACTTTGTGCACTTGTACATTTTTCTGTAAATACACTCTCTCTAAACTACCCCTGCTCGGCATATGCAGTCTCACAGTCCATCACTTACACTCCACTAATACCACCCCTATGATGGAGTCTGTTATTAAACCAATATAAACCTCCCCAAAAAATAAAATAAAATAAAAGAATAGACATTGAAGTCGTTATTCACAAATCTGTTCCTGGACTCCACCGCGTTGTTCCCACCATCTTCTTTTATCTCGGCTTTCCATAACTCTCTTTCTTTGCACATTCATCAGGTTACTTATGTTGGTTCTTAAAACTGCATTCAATCCACATGTTTTCGCCCTACCAGACCCCAACACTCCAAAAAAAAAAAAAAATAACAAAAAAAAAAAAAAAAACACCCATCTGATTACAGTCTACATTGTAATACCTATCCTTCGATTTTCGCCCTACCAAATCCCCCAACACTCACGCTGTCTCTATACTGTAATTCACTCGCCCAGACCAGATTTCTTTTTTCTCTTCATAAACAAAATCAAACAACAAACTTCATACACACCAAGATTCAATTCAAGTTTTCATTAATCGCATATTACATACAGCAGGGGCTATCAACTTTTTTTTTTTTTTGTTTTAAAAAAAGCTTTGGGTCTTAGTTACTTACAGATTCTAGTAGTCGCTTCCATTGATGCACCGTTGACTTCTCCTTGGAGTTGCGTCTGCCATAGGTTACGATGGTGTTCATCGACCTCTATTGTTCACGCCTCTGTTTATTTGTGCACCAGATTTCGCCGAGTAGAATGTGCAATGCCGACAAGGCTCCTTCACAAGCGGTGTTTTAACCCTAAACGAAGACAGGCGGGTTTTTCGCTCTTTCCTTTCCCATCAATGCACACGCACTTTACTAATTACTTCTTTACCCCTAAATTTAATTACTACTACCGTTACTTTCATATCTAGTGTCTTTTTAATCTCCCGTATTGTGCATTTGTAGCCGTTCGATTCTCTAATCCTACGGATCTAAATAATCCACAGACCACACCTAAAGCCCTATCCTCACTTGAACTCTACCCTATATATATATATATATATATATATATATATATATATATATATATATATATATATATATATATATATATATATAAGTGCCATTTTCCCGTTCATTTTAGACAAAAAAAAAATTAATTTGAAATTTGAAATCAGTCAACATAACATTACAATACTTAACAAAATTAAATTATCTTAAATTTGGTATAGAATCATTACATATAATTTGCATACATAACTCATAACCTTAATTAATTTGTATACATTAATTAAGTAGTGGATTAGTGGACTACTAAAAATATTAATAATATTTTTGAAACAAAATAGACCTTCATTAATGACGAAATATTAATAATATTAATACTACTAACAATAGTAATATTATTAGGGTTAATAATAATATTAATATATTATGATTAATTATAATTAATATTAATATATTTCGTTTACTTTTTAAGTAGTGATTCTTTCTTAATATAATTTCATAAGATAAGAGTATTCCATCTAAGTTGTTAGGTTGTCTTTATTTATTAGTGTTTAGTTGCAATATATTAGATCTATTAAGTTAGTCTACTTTGTAAAAAAAAAAAAAAAAAAAAAAAAAAAAAAAAAAAACAGGTGATGCAAACTTAATAATTAAACATAATAATTATTTTAAAAAAAAAAGAATAAACAAATAAATAATTTTGCAATTAGTCATGCGGTGAATGTTAATAAACAATTTATTAACATTAAATAAATGTTAATATTCAATTAACTTTACTTAATAGTTTATAAATATTATCTGTGCATCACATGGAACATTTATTAGTTATAATAATTATAGAAGTGTTATTAAAGATGATTGGCTTTGGCTTGAGACAATCATTGAATCATACACAAGAATGCTTGGTATTGGTATAGTGTTTTATGTAATTGATTAGAAGTGTTATTAATTAAGTTGTATGTTGTTTTCAAAAATTAAGTTGTATGTTATTCAAATGAAATAATCATCAATACATCGTGGCTATGAGGAACATAACCAATTATGGTTACAAAAAAGTTACAATTCATTTATTTAAAGTGTAAATAGGGTTTCAGTTGCGGGGATAGCTCAGTTGGGAGAGCGTCAGACTGAAGATCTGAAGGTCACGTGTTCGATTCACGGCCACCGCAATTTAACTTGTATGGTTTTTCAATATAAGCCATACATTTATACGTTAATACGTTTTAAAACAGATGTTCTATGCAAGTCTTCCGTTGTCGTCCAGCGGTTAGGATATCTGGCTTTCACCCGGGGACCCGTGTTTGATTCCCGGCATCGGAATATGATTTCCCATTTTAATTAGTTTTTCAAATGCGAAAACTGCAATCTTTCAGTTTATTTATTTGATTTAATAAATAACATTAGGAATTGGGGGCGGGTTTTTTTTTTTTTTTATTGGATTGGACTTTTAAAATTTTAATTATTTATTATGCAGACAATGAATATATTGTAATTCTTTAATTTTAGGAAGCTCTATATATTGTGTAAGTGTAATTTGCATTTACAATTTGTAATACTACCCCGTCCATTTTTATGTATCGGGTTCGGTTAAAGACATTATAGGGACAATGTAACAAATATAATCAATTGATGAATTTGAATGTAAAGAATTTTCATATTGGAGAAAAATAAAGACAATATAGCTAATGAAATTATTTCTCTTATTTAATTTATTGATAATGGATAATTTTTTTTGAATAAAGACGTCTGAAACGAGACGGTGTGACTGGAAAGTTCCCAAAAGCTTGTTACACACTTGACAAACCCGCAAGGGAAGCATTGTGTGAATGGGTTAGGAATCTCAAATTTCCTGATGGCTATGCATCTAATATGAATCGATGTGTAGATATGAAGAAGTTGAAGTTGTTTGGAATGAAAAGTCACGACTGTCATGTGTTTATGCAGAGGTTAATACCAATTGCATTTCGTGAGTTACTCCCGCTAAATGTTTGGAAAGTTCTTACAGAATTGAGTTTATTCTTTAAGAACCTTTCTTCCACTACAATTGCAGCTGAGGAAATGACGAAACTTGAGAATGACATACCTCTCATTCTATGTAAACTTGAATGTATATTTCCTCCTAATTTCTTCGACTCTATGGAGCATCTACCAATCCACTTAGCTTATGAAGCAAAGATTGCTGGTCCAGTTCAATATAGGTGGATGTATCCATTTGAGAGGTATAATTTTTATTAGTTGTGTTATATGTTTCGAAACATATAATAACATTGCCACTTATAGATGTTATAATTGTGTTTAGATATCTTCGAAAATTGAAAAATAATGTCAAAAATAAAGCGAAGGTCGAGGGTTCTATATCCAATGCATATTTGGTGGAAGAAGCATCATCGTTCTGTTCATACTATTTTGAGGATCATGTTAGCACGAAGCACAGAAATGTGCCTCGAAATGCGGATAACAGTGAATATAGAGTTGATGAACATGAAGAAACTCTTTCTATATTCAAGTATTCGGGTCGAGCATTTGGCAAAGCAAAAGCGAGATATATGACAGATGAAGAGTATAAAGCTGTTCAAACCTATGTGTTATTAAATTCTTCAGAAGTGGAGTCATTTATTGAGTAAGAATTCACTTCTGTTCAATTTTCTTATGCAATGTGTTATAAATGTTAACCCACTTATTGTTTTTAAAGGGTTTATATTGAGGAGTCAAAGAGGAGTCAACCAAACATTTCCAGTACTACCATCGATGGTAAATTGGAAAATGAATTTGCAAATTGGTTCAATGACTATGTAAGACTTGTATATTTTTGAAAACTAATAAATCCGGATTGCATTAATTCAAGAATGTAGCAAAGGAGGGTAGAGCATCCCTCCAGACATTATGTAGCAAAGAATGTAAGACTTGTATATATATTATATATATTAAACTTCAAATTATTTAATAAACTTTAACACTTATATTATGTATTATACAGGCACATGATCCTTCAAATAACATTTCAAACAAATATATAAAGGATCTTGCAAAATGGCCACTAAGATGTGTTAATACATATTCAGGGTATTATGTGAATGACTTTAAATTTCACACCATGAGTTATGGTGGAGGTAAAGAAACAATGAATAGTGAAGTTTGCATAAAAGGTATAAAGTATAAACTATTGTATAGGTGAAAGTGATTATTATGGCCGATTGGTAGAAGTTGTACAAGTAGAGTACCCTGACTTACTAGTCAAGAGGACAATATTATTCAAGTGTGAGTGGTTTGACCCGACAAGTGTGGGCATGAAGCTTCATTCTGAGTATAAACTTGTTGAAGTTAATCATAAGCGTAGACTTAATCGCTATGAACCATTCGTTCTAGCAATGGAAGCCGCTCAGGTTTATTATTGTACATACCCAAGTTTGCGACGCGGCAAGCTTGATTGGTGGGTTGTTTGCAAAATTAAAGCGAGATCTGAAATAGTACTTCCTGAATCATCTATATCTACTGAAGAATCACAAATACCTGCACCATTTCAAGAGAAAACTACAGACAATCATGATCTCATGCAAATAGATGAAGACCCTTTGCATTTAAATGAATCAAATGGTAATACATTTAAATGATCACAAATACCTGGTACGGGATGTTCTCGACATACCGGAGGATCTAGATCAAGTATTGAGCACTTTCACGCATTGGTAATACATTTAACATAAAAAATTATTATTTGTACATATTTTACAGATTTAAGTATCATATTATTGTTTGTGCTTGTTTAATAGCGAGATAAGCTTCAAAAGGAGCCTGATCCGTATGAGTGCTTTGAGCATACGCACAAAAAGAAGGATGGTACATTCATTGATGAGAGGTCAAAGAAAATCGTTGTAAGTATAACGTAATAACAGTATATTGTTTAGATACAATTCTTATATGTCTTTATATACTTCTCTTATTTTGTATATGTTTTTAATTGTAGGACGAAATACAAGCACAACGTGATTCTACAATCCTAGAGGCGGAAGGGTCAAATGAGCCACCAATTATAAACATGTCACAGATGTATGTGGATGTTGGTGGTGGGGTAAAAAAAAACAGCGTATTTATGGCTTAGGGACTAAGTCATCTGCATTTATCACTGAGAATAACTGTAGTTCATCATCTGCTACATCACAACTTCAACAATAGGCAATGAAGGAGATGGTGAACCAGCAGTTAGAGACCATGCGAGTTGAGATGGAAGCTAAACTACAAGCTGGAAGAACTCAAATGCAAGCTCAGATTGCAAGTTTGATGGATGAGTTGCATCGCAACGGCATGCTATCCACTCCAAGTACTCAACCTCAACATTCAGCTAATTCAAATGATGAAAACTTAGGAGATGATTAGATTATATGTTTATTATAATATTTGGTATTGGTTCTAATGATGTCACATTATATTGCTATACTTATGTTATTGCTATTGACTTTAAATACTTTAATATAATATATTTTATAATTATATTATTTAAGTACTATATTATAGGTTTAATGCAGGTTTTTTTATATTAATTAGCGGGTACATTAGTTTTATTAATTTTTAGAATTTAGAGACGGACAAATATGGTAGAAGGGTAACGAAATAGCGACGGAAATAATAAGTTGCAGCTAAATGACATTCAATTCAAAATTATAATAAAAAATAGGGATGATACTTTTCGTCGTTATATTACCGACGAACGCTAGCGACGGACATTTTCGTCGCTATATTTAGCGACGGAAAAATCCGTAGCTAGTCCGTGGCAAATCTCGACGCCGAATTATTGTAAAAAGACATTAACGATGGAAATTAATTATTTTAGCGACGGAATTGCCGTCGCTAACTCTAGCGACAGACTAGTCCGTCGTTATTCGGTCGCAAATTTCCACTCCGAATTCGTCGCCGGAAGAAATTTAGCGACGTATATTTCGGTCGCTAGTTATAGCGACGGAAAAAATTTTGGTCGCTAAATTCTAGCGACGGGGTATTTTGTGTCGGACGAATTCCGTCGCTAACCACTTTAGCGACGGATTTTCACTATTTAGTGACGAAATTTGTCCGTCACTATTTCGGTGTTTTTTTATAGTGGACATTGTAGACACATAATTCTAAATTAACGAAATGTATATTTTTTATTTTTTGTTGTAGCTACTAAATTATTATTTAATTTAATAAGAGTAAAATAGAGTACTAATTATGCCAACTTTGATTGGGATGAGTGGATGACGTTTGAACCTAAGACCTTTCTTATTGAAATCAATGTGTAAGTTAAAGGTGAACTAATAGAAATTTACAGAGAAGATAATATTTAACGGAAAAGTTAACGGATAATCATATAATTAAGGATAAATTAGGAAATCTCAAGGAAAAATTAAAATCTGATCAATCTGAGCCATTTATTTGATTAAAAAATTTGACTGTCATTTTTCTACCCATTATAGGCCTAACTTTTTTTGCATCTTATTAGTATCGTAGATTTAATTACTATTTATGTTCTAAATATTAAATTTTTGTATAATCTAATATTTGAACCTCTAACCTCTAAATTAACTTTTTATTTTTTTTATTTTGGAATAAGGGTCAAATACGTTATTGAGATACACATGAAATTAGAATTGTACCATCCAACTAAAAAATTTGTCATTGAATACTTGAACAACTTAAAATCATGCAATTGAACATAAAATGACATGTCTACCCGATATTTGCTGATGTGGTAGTTACATTTAGTGTAATTAATGATATCATTAGGTGCACTTTATATTCTTAATATGTGCAGTCTAAACTCTAAAGACAAACCATAACTACTAGACTCTAAAGTGAACTTCTAAACTAAATTAAAAAAGCTAAGCCATAAACCAAAAAATAATAATAATAATAATAATAATAAAATAAAATAAAAAATCTAAACTATAAATTATAAATGGTGAACAATTTCACAGGACTATAAGTATCACATGATGCACTCTATGGTGTTGTTAAGTGCATTCCATAGTATTGTTACATGAACATAAAGTTCAAGTTATTTACAAAAATGTCATAGCGTTTTTCCAATACCTCCATACTTTAAAGCCGTTACATCTGTCCAAATGAATGACTCTAGTTTGTTCCTAGTTCTCTCATAGAAATTCTTATTTGATCCAAATAATGTTTGTGAGTGATTTAAATCGATCAATATGGGGTATATAATTATACAAAAAAGTTCAACAAGTACCCTTAGCATACTTGTTCTTATTATGACTAGATTTATTTAAAGGTAAGAGTTTAATTTTAGCTATGAACAATATTTTTAAATACTAATACAAACCCATTTAAACTAAAACTATCTAAAAACATAATAAGTCTCAATTCAAGTTATATCCTTGATTTATGTCATTTTTTGTATGCTGATAAAGGTATATTAGTAGATGGAAAAAAAAAACAAAAAAAAAAAAAAAAAAAAAAAAACAAAACAAAACAAAACAAAACAAAACAAAAAACAAAAAACAAAAAAAAAAACAAAAAACAAAAAACAAAAACAAAAAAAAAAAACACTTTCTTTAGGCGGTATGATGTCCGACCTCGCCTACCGCTAGACGGAACAGTCTTTTTGGACACAAGGAAAAATCTTTTCAAAAAATGACTAGCTTACAAAAAAAAAAAAAAAAAAAAACAAAACAAAACAAAACAAAACAAAAAAATCAAAATCAAAATCGAGTACATGACGCAAAAATTAGGCCGAGCTCCGAGATCAACCCGACCTCCTTAGGTCAAAAGTAGGTTGAGCTATGAGCTCGAGCCGACCTCCTTAGGTCGAGACTAGGCCAAGCTCCGAGTTCGACCCGACCTCGTTATGTCGCAACTAGGTCGGGCTCCGATCTCAACCCAACCTCCTTAGGCCGAGACTGGGCTCCGAGCTCGACTCGACCTCCTTTGGTCAAAACTGGCTGAGCTTCGAGCTTGACCTGACCTCTTCAGGTCAAGGCTAAGCTGAACTCGTAGTTGAATCCGACCTCTATAGGTCAAGCCTGAGCCAAGGTTCAAGCTCAACCCGACCTCCTTAGGTCCAAGGCCGAGTCAAGCACCAACTCAACCAAGTTATGAAATTATGTGCCCATACAAAACATATTGTGTGTCTTATTTTACGAATTTATATCTTGTATTATGGAATTATGTGCCTATATGACATAAATTATTTACATAAATTTGTTCTGAGAATAAGTAATATAGAAAACATGTGTATGTATATCGTGTTATGTGTTTCTGTACAACATGTTATGCAATTCTATGCATTAAGCGTAAGGATTCTGTACCTAAAATAAATTAAAATTTATGTTAAAACATGATAAACAAAAAGTTACAGAGTCTATTAAAGCTTAAACATCAAAAGACGTCGTTTTGATCCAGGGTACACGATATAAATTGCCTTGATCACCATTGTGAATGTGCACAACAGATATCAGTCCTTGTTGCATTTTCTCTCGTATAAAATGAAATAACAATCAACTTCAATATGTTTCGTCCCTTCATGAAAAATCAGATTGTTCGTAATATATATAGCAGCACAATTGTCACACCACAACCTAATAGGTAACTTGACCTCCACACCAATCTCTTTTAGAATATTGTGCATCCAAATTATTAAATTAATCACATGAGACGGACTTTGCACTTGACTAATTCCAATGCTTGAAGATATAAGAGTTGCTATGATGAAGACTAAAGAGTGTTGTAATGAAGTGCAAAATTGTTGCAAAATGGTGCATAAACTGCATAATTTTCATTATGAAGAAGTTGAATGAAACTATTAATGAAAGAACTCAATAGAGCGTGGATTTCAATAAAGACAATGTTTATGAGATAAAGAGGCGTATATAATAATTAATAGTAAAATTACAAGCTAAGAGTTGTTCGTACAAATCTTAGGATTTAATTAACATCCCTAGTCTCGGTGCACTGTGCGCTATACTTAACAATTGAACATGATGAGTATATAGATCAATGCTACTCCAAAGAGGTATATAAAATTATATTTTCACATACAT